CTGTGAGCCCCCGACCCCCTGGCCTTGGCAAAGGCACAGCGGCCCTCACCCACATCCTTCTTGGCCCAGGGACACTCGGACGCAGGCCTGGCCTCGCCTGGCCACCATCCGTCTGCACGGTGGCTGGAAGCCACGGACCAGCAGTAACAGCTCTGAAGCCGAACCACGCCTGGTCTTGTGACAGTCACCCAGGGCTGGTCACTCCTTCCCCCACCAGTGGTGGTCCCCAGGACTGGGGTGTCTGAGAAGGGTCAGAGGTTATGGGACCCGCCCTGGGTTTCTCTGAGGGGTGGGTGAGGGCAGGCTCTCCATCTGGCTCTGGGTGGTAGGGGCTGGATTTAAACTCCTTTGAAGACTTAAGTGGGCAAGAGAAGGTGTTACTTTCACAGCAGCTGCTCAGGCTCTGAATATGAAAGACGCTGGCTTCGCACTGCTGGGGCAGCTGATAATGTGTAGGCTGGACAGGAGAGATCGAGAAAGGCCTCCTAGCCAGCTAGACAGGCAAGGCGGCTTTCCCAACGGAAGTGGGTGCCATGCTCCACCAAGTTCAGTGTGTTCCCTTTGCCTGGGGCCCGGGTCCCCGGTGGCGCAGATGGTTAAGTGCTTCAAACCTCCAGCTGAGAGGGTGGTGGGTTGAGCCAGGCCTGGGCAGCTGAGCTTCCTCAAGGCCACAGCCCTGCACACCGCTGGAGCAGCTCGCCTCTGACCACACGGGGGCGCTGTGGCGCTCACCTACCCAGAAGGTAACCTACCCTGCCAGGGGGCCAGTGGCGGCGGTGTGCTGTGACTGCGCCCAGTCCAGATGCTCCCCTCCACCCCCCGCCCACCGGTTGGAGGACCGTGTGAAAGGGCACGCATTCAGTGGAGAAATCGACTAGAACTTTCTAGGCAGAGAAATGCCACGGCCAGGGAAGTCAGTGGCTAAGATCAGGGGCAGGCAGGGCCCGGGCCGAGTGCTTTGCTGAGTAAGGAGAGGAGGGGCTGGCTGGCTGGTGGCTGGGCTGTTTATTTGCAGAGCGCCTGAGATTGGCACTCTCAGGCCTGCCAGGCACCTGGGCGTGCTCTCAGCATAATGGCAGTGTGCGGCGGCAACACGCTACATCAGTTGAGAGTACAGTTAAGCGTTGAATGAAATGAGATTGTAGCACAGGCACGCACACGCGCTTCCAACTGAATTCTAAAGCTCTTGGAAGCAAGATCTGGGGAAAACGCAGCATAAGGAGTCTGGAATCTGAGCAGGCGGACCTCAGGCAGGCCCCACGGAGAGCTCCGGAAATAGCGCGTGCAAACGGAAGCATTTTTGCCCACATTCTGAGGCTTGCCAATCACGGGCCCCTATTCTGAAGGGGCTGACCACCCTCACCTGCACACCATGCAAACCTCTGGAGGCAGC